TTTTTAAGAAGAAAATTAACAAACGTTGTTGCCAAAACTGTATCTGGATAACCTTTACCTGTTGGCATCTCTCTGTTTTTGTCTATACTACAAAGCAAGCATATTATTTTTATGATAATTCCATAAAAATACTCCAAAAGGTACAAATAGCACAAACATATGGAAGAGGATTAGGGCCACTGGGGGAAAAAAAGTGGGCACGTCTTTTTTTTTCTTCTTTTCCTGAATTCTGAGAAAAAAGTCAGAATTCTGACTTTTTTTCTCAGAATTCTGACTTTTACTCAGAATTCTGACTTTAATCTCAGAATTCTGACTTTTTACTCAGAATTCTGACTTTTACTCAGAATTCTGACTTTAATCTCAGAATTCTGACTTTTTTCTCAGAATTCTGACTTTAATCTCAGAATTCTGACTTTTTTCTCAGAATTCTGACTTTTTTCTCAGAATTCTGACTTTTTTCTCATATTTTTTTCCAGTGGCCCTAATCCTCTTCCGTACAAACACGCTTAAAGAGTCCAGTTCAGGTGAAGCTGGCTGACAGCTACACCTCATCAGTCAAAGCTATAATAAATCGGTCAAAATTATTTTTTTGTACTACACCATAAACACGTTTCTACAGTAACGTCTCGTCTTTGGAGCCATCCTGAAGTGGTCTTTACATGAACTTCTTTTGACTCCTGGATTTTGCCTCTTGGGTTAAACACCCAGACAAATACAAAAGGGTGGAAACTGTTTGTCCATAAGTGACAGCGAATTGGGGTCGAGGCCCACACAACGCTGAAAGGAAAAGGGCATGACAAGCGTCAAACTTTCCCTTGAGCTAGCATCGATCAACACGCAGACAACATTGTGTTTCTTCTCATCTGTTTGTCCAGTGCATGCCACTGAAACATGAGCAGGTGTGTTTAGGAGACCGTTGTTGTTGGATCGGTGTTGTTGATACAGGCTGTTGTTGTTGCCCCCCACCCCACCCAACTGCACCCAGACCAGCCCAACCTAGCCCAACCCCATCCCTCTGTACTCCTGATGGCTGCCGGGTGGAATGTAGTGTGACTCGGTTATTTTTAGACGGGGTCACTTGAAATACTCCAAGCGGGGCTTCATTGAGGATAAACAGAAGCTGCTCTCGTGCAGTGTGTCACACTTAAAAGCTGAGCTTACCTCAAGCCTGGGTTTGCATTTTGTAACAACTGGAAAAAAATTAAATTAGGTGTTTCTTTTTTTTCTACCATTATCCGTGATCCAGTTTTTACCTGGCTGTTTTATTTGCACCATTTAGCCCTCTGAAGGTGCCTGAAGACCTTGAGATGTCTCCTGAAGACCATGGGACAGGATTGAGGTACAAATTTGTGTCCTGGAGTGGAAGCCAGAATAGATTTAAGGAGCAATGACTTGTCTGGTCTGCTAATCCAGATCCAGTAGAAAGAATTTAGCTGTTTTTACAGTTGGAAACATGCAGATATTTGGATAATTTTGGTTGTATTTGTCCCTTTATTGTAGGCTTGAAAACGCATGGATCTGAGATTTACTTATTTTTTTGGCAGAAATGAAGGAGATGATGTAGCGCTTTTAACTGAACAAACTCAAGTACTTTAAAGAAAAACTGAAGACTTTTATTTTTGGGGGGTTGGGAGGGTGACCTGAACTTACTAAAGAATCTCAACGTAAAGTTAGATCATACTAGAATTATTAAATTTATAATACATTCAACTTTTGATGTCAGTCTGAATAAAGAAGCACCACAGAACAGATGAACTTTGTTGTGTCATTGGGCCATGTCTGTCTGTTACACAGGTTTCTTATACTACTTGTTTGTTTTGGCTTCTTACGCAGACACATGCAGACTGCTCTTTCACGAAGGCATTAACTGTAAACTCCATCAGCCGGGATTCTGATTTCTCGCTCTGTTAATATCAGTCTTTTTATCTGTGTGTCTCTACGCAGAACATAATCAGGTATTAGTTGCGTCAGAGTCATGTTTTCTGTGGTAAACACCCACATAAATGGTGGGGAGGGGGGGACTTCACAAGTGAGGAGCTGAGATGTTTTTGCCGCCATTCTTTGCATTGTTTGTCTTTCTATTTTTAAACTGCCGTCACTGGGCTTGTTAGAGGCTCAGACTTGCCGCTTTTTTTGTGTTCTGTTGTTTCAGAGCCTTTTAGTTTCTATTGGACTATTGCCTGAATCCTTCATACATGTGACTAATAATGACCCACCAGTGGATAACAGTGCTCAGTGGTGGTGTGTAAGAGTCTGGGGCAATGAAACATGATATAGTCTTTTCTCAACAAGTATCCAGAGTGCATGGGGCAGGAGTTTTGAGAATGCACATGTTGAAGGTTGACTATTACTTTCCTTTAAGTTGTGCAAACACTTTTTGGTTAAATCTAAAGTCAGAAACTGGTGAGATTCACTGGAAAATCTTGCAGACAGAGGCTACGAAGAAGTGTAAACATAAACCCAATATTCATACTTTTGATTGGATAAGTTTTGGGGGAGTTGAAGGCTGGGTCAATGTCTTGAAATGTGTTTTTTTCCATTCCCATTGAGATTTTGTGGTGTGTTTACTGACATCATTGCTGTTGGTTGGTTGGTCCACTCGTTTGTGGACGTAAATGGGGGCAGTTGCCGATCCAATCACACGTTTTCCAAGTCTGCTTGGGCTCCAAGGCTGCCTCAAGGAGTATGGGCTGTTGGTGCAGTGTCTGCATAGACAAGTCTGATTGGTTATCTTGATAAAAATCGAACAATTTTATTAACGTCGCCTGTCAGTATATAAATGAGGATGAAAGATGGCTACTTGCCACCAGCTTACTTTTTAACGTGAAAAGTGTGTTACTCTCCTCAGAGAAATGGGTAGATTTTAACATTTCTTTGAAAGCGTTTTGGTTTGTTCCTTCACTTCTTGTGTCATGATTGCAATGAAGATGATGAGGTTAATATAAAGGGTAGTGTTAACAAGTGTTAATGAACAGATTTCAAGATTTAAACATGTATTTAGAAGGAATTTAGTCAGGCAAAATCACACATAGCTTCCCTTCTTCAGCCTTAATGCAACAACAGAATCAAGAAAGTCCCCTGAGCAGATAGTTTGTCTGTCTGGTGACCCCCACCAGAAAAGTCAAGATCAAAGTAGGTCAAAACATCTGCTGAATGTGCACTCATTTCCCAGCTGATGCAAATATTACTGTAAAAGTCAAGCTGGATGGAAAACTAAATGGGATTTACTCATTTCAGAAGAAGCAATCATCCATATGGCACTGGATTGCATCACATCCACGAGGCCTCTGTGTCAGCTGTAAAGCTGGATATGCCAAAGAAATTACCAAGCAACAAGCTCAA